TCCAAAGAAATACAAAATAATTCAATAATAAATGTAAGTAAGAAATAAAATTAACATATGATTAACATATGAAAAACATATGAACATAAACATATGTTAACCATATGTTCATACAAAACATATAAGCAACATATGTTAAGCATATGATCAACATATTTTCATAAACATATGTAAAACATATGGTGCTCGTTTTTATGGCGAACATATGTTTCAGAACATATGTTCAACATATGTTAAACATATGTTGCAATTTTTCCTGTGTACTACAATGATACAAGTAACAGCTTTATAAACAATTCCTAAAACTCAACTCAAATATAGTAAGTCTGTTTAAATTGATTCGCAGGAAAACAATGTCGTACACATTTACTTGCAGAATGTCCATTAAATGATCTAAAAAAAAATTGCAGAAACACAGGAAGACATTTCAAAGCCACCTCTATTTTGTACATGTAAGAAATGTTAATAGTTTTTCTCTCTTTCATCAATGTAAAGCCTTTATCTTGAAGATAACCACTCTAAGGCATTTACTTTGATCTTGCCACAATATATTTTGACTTTTAGGTTTATAGATCCTCGACCAAATTGTCGATTTATTTCCTCGGACTTAAAGTTTTGATTTTTATTTTTGAATTAATACTATAAATAAATCGCAAAAGAGGAAAATATACAATTGTTGAGAAATACAAATTTCATATTATTTTATCAATATTCAAGTATTACAAAATGGAATAATGTATTGTACCATAGAGTATCAATATTTGATCATCCGATATTTATTTTCTTTGTATCTTTTCATTTTATTGAATTTTTTTTGGAAATGAAAATAGTGAATTATAGCATTTCGCAGGTACGTTAAGGCTTCCCAGAGAATATTGCAGTGTACTCTGTGCCTTCACTCCTCTGAACTACAAATATATGACGTCATAATTGAAAATGACGTCAAGTCACTGCAAACTTGAGCTGTTATGATGGGGAGAGTGTCATAAACTTTACACTTATTTCAATCTGCATATAAAGTGTCGGGAAGGTAGTGTAAAATAAACGTGTTTCAATCTTTTTTAAAAAAAAACCTTATATATGCGAATATTTTAGATAACTTTGCTTTATTACTCTTGTTAAAAAGTCAGCGTGTTCAAAATATATACGAAAATATACGTTTGACATTTACTCTTTTTTATACCCTTGGGTAGAGGTAGAATTTATAATATGTGTATAAAAGAGCCTGGCGCAGGTGATTAATGAGGATTTATTTGAGATCTTTTGTGGAAATCTGTAAGAGGGGTTTCCCCTCTAACTGAATCTTGCTTGGGAAAAATGTGTGATGGCTTTGTTTTAATTGAGTGAAAAATACCCTCAACTTTGTCGGTAAGTTGAATTTATTGTTAATTATTTTGTACCAGAGTAATAGTATAACTTTTACCAAGCACATATCGGGTTCACAAGGATGCGACGAGTTTATTTATGTGACAAAAAGTTAATAATAATTGTGTTTAATCACCTGCGCCGAAGCGATTTATGTGAAACACTTCAAAAATGTAGAAATGACCATCACGTGATATCGTAACAAATACGTTTATATAGAGCCTAGAGAACTCTCTATATAAATTGGCCGTACTTAAGTACATACCTTACAAAAAGAAATAAAAATCGACTTTGCAATGCAGTGTTATTTTTTGAACGCATTTACAGCTTCGGGAAGCCTTAACATTGCTGCGTTATTGAGTGCCTCTTTGATGAACAATAAAACATTAATCACGTATTGTAAATTAATATGATTTTATCTATGTTTATAACCTTGAGTAAATTAATCTTATTTTAATGCTAAATGTTCGGAAATAATGAGAGAGAGAGAGAGAGAGAGAGAGAGAGAGAGAGTAATCCACAGTATACCAGACTGACCGGATGTGCCTTGCAGTGGTCCGAATTCATTTCATATCTATAAGTTTTCTACATCAAAATTCAAAATGTAAACTGTTAGTAAATAGGAGTTATAAGCATAGTTGTAGTGCTGGATAATCGCTGAAATAACTGTTATGTAATAACCCGTAATAGGCAATAAAATGAATGTCGATTGCTTTGGTCTGTGCTCAGTTCAAGCCATTCAACATGAATGACATAAACATGAATGCATGCACATGTATGAAAATAGTAAAGGTAAATATTTCTTTATTCCTTTACAATATTTACTGTACAGATAAAGTAATTTTGATAGATTTATTGTACAGGCATACTTGTCGATTTCAATTTGACTTGACTAAAAAGAAATTTGCATGTTGAATTTGAGGCAAAACGAAGAACACCGCCACCCCATAAAGATACTTGATATTGTCATTTCTTATTTGAGCATGTTGAGATATATACATTAAGATGAATTATTTACGTCATCTGAACACCACAGAATTGTTTGTTTGTTTGTTTATATGTTGTTTAACGTCCCTCTCGAGAATTTTTCACTCATATTGAGACGCCACCAGTTGCCGGTGGAGAGCTGCAAATTTTGTCCTATACTCGGCACTTAAGGCCATTGAGCAGTGAGGGATCTTTTTCGTTCCAGCACCTACTGCGACATGGGACCTCGGTTTATACGGTCCCATCCGAAGGACCGGCCACAGAACTGTAATCAATGTCAGCTGGCAATTATGGATTGAAATTTAAAATATTTAGATTTTAAGATGAGAGGTATTTAAGGATAATGAAAAACCTTATCTACATAAAATGTTCACGTTAAAAATACCAGCTCATCTAGGCCTTACCATTTTAATAAATATGTTTCTTCCAACCAGACCTTTTCAACACACATTTCTATTTTTTTAAAACATCTATTTTTTTCTTTTTCGAATTTGCTTAAAATTAGACACTTGCATATTATTTATATTCATCTGTATTTTCTATTTATAAATTTGGTACAGATTTAACTTGCAATTTTAAAGAAAATGAACATATAAACGTTGACAAAAATTCAGAAATAAGAAAAAATGTATGACGACATATTTTATGTGAAAAAAAAGAAGAATTTCTAGACATTGAATTGAGAATTTATTTGAAAAACACTTTAAAATTCGTGAAAAATAAAGAAAAATATGTGTATTCTGGAAATGTTGTAGATAGTTATATACAATAAAGAGGGATTGGTATGCAAGATATGCAGGTATGTTAATCTTCCGTATAAGAATTATGAAATCTTCTGTCCTCGATATGAAGTAGTTTAAATGTCGGTACGATTATAATAAACGATGACCTTAAAAAGTTAAATTGAAAATCATGATAATTGGGTTCCAAGATTAAACACCCATGGTCAAACTAGTTTGATGAAAAAAGAAATACAACTTGTCTTAGAAAATCATCTTAATGAAAATGCAGTTGATGTTTGAAAAAGAAATCTATACATATGGGTTCTGTAAAAATGATAATTAAAAGAATGCAAAAGTCCCACTGCCAACTTGTGATTACCATGCAACATTGGAATAATTATAAAGCTTGAGTGAGGAAAAAAAATAAATATTGAAAATGCATTGTATTTTCTTTTTCTTTTTCATTTGTTTCCTTCTGGGCCTTCAACAAGAATATCTTATTACATGATTATAAACAGTAAATCTGAGCCATTGCATCAAACTCCATGAATCAAAAAAAAAAAAAAAAACAAACAAACAAAAAAACAAAAAACAAACAAACAAACAAAACAAAAACAAAGTTAATACAAAGTAATGCAAATGTCGATATGATTTTTAATTATTTTTTTTAATAATTTTTCTGCATACCTACTTAGTAAAGAAAAACATGAAATACTAAATGAAGAGAGCATGTGTATATAATTTTATAACAATATGTAATCAGAATTAGACTCTTTTTCACACAAGGTGATCATGCAGGTGTTCTAATACCAAAATGGTAGCCTTCATTATCTCGTGCACATAAAGTTGGTATCCTAGAAATAGTTTTCCTGAAATTATGTAACGTACGAGATATATATATATATATATATATATATATATATATATATATATATATATATATATATATATATATATATATATATATATATATATATATATCTGGAATGAATAATTTATCTTAAATCAGGAATTGATTTTCTCTCGTTTCACAATTCGTTAAAATAGAGGAGAGAAAAGAGGGAGGGAGAGAGAAAAAGGAGATAGAGAGAATAAATTATAAGGGATATTTTGAAATCATGTACATACATGTATTTGTTTACCTGGCAGAACTTCTCTTTCTGTAACATATGTAACCAATCGGAATAAGAACGATTATTACAACCACTGTAATTACGACTGGCTGCCAAATATTTGAACTCTCTTCAGAACCTCCAGATTTTGATGTTTGCACTAAATTTAAGTACAGAAATTTATAAAACGTACGTTATTTTCTTTAATGGTTTAAATAAACTGAATAAAAAAAATAACGATAATCAGATACATAAAAGTGCAAATATCCAGGAATTGATTAAAAGAAACTTTAATATACATGATTTATGTGATTACATGCATTATTACAGTTAAATAACAGTAATCGAAAATCATAATAAAAACATGCTAGAATGCAAAACGAAGATGATTCACTTTACTTCACTCTGCTTGTCAAATCAAAAAGGGAAAGGTTATGCTTAAAGTACACACAATCTTTTTACACCAATAGAATGGAAATCAGTTGTCTATTTTACCTTCATCCTGATCAATTATTTTTTTCGCTACAATGATTGATTGTATTTGACCAATCATTGGCGATATTTCCTTGCGAGTAACGAGAGCTCCAGATTTCTTGTCAACAATCAAAATGAATCTGAAATGAAAATTCCATTGCAATATCTAGCTCAAAAAATTGGTTGGTATTCTCTAAGCTTCTTTTAAAATTAAGCCTGATAATTTTCCAAATTATTTCTTTATAATTTCTTTTTTATATAAATGCTATAAGCATGTAAATTCTTTCATTATATCGTGATTTATTTAAAATCCTGCTTTGAGTAGAAGCTTAACCTTTCTTTGTTGGCTATAGCATAAATCTTTTCTGCATCAGAGTCTATTGTTGACAATGTATACTGTTTTTCCTCATATATTGTCGTAAATGATTTTCCGTCTATACTTAATCGAAAGATCTCGTTTCCTTTTGTCTCTAGCGCATAAAGGTGATTTCCTTGAGTATATAAAAAGATTATTAAGATAACACATAATTATATATTGTTTAAATCAGATAAGGTTCGATACAGAAACTATTTTTCATTATTATTATGGAATAAAATCTTTGTAGTACAAATATCAATCGATTTGTTTAAGAATCCTCTATCAGATAAACAATGGTATAACTTTGCTTAATTGTTCTATTTGAAAAAAAAAAAGAAATATGTATGCTATATTTACATTCAACATGTATTTTACTTATAAAGTGTGAGGAAAGCTACGGCATTCAAAACACTGTAACACAGACAGGGTGTCAAAGGGTTAAAGTATGCGCTTTATTTTGACGTTACAAACTTTGAACGCCATGGAAGCGCAACGTCATAAGCGAAAATTAAAATTCACGCTCGCATTGAACAGAAGCTGTTGCAACGGCTCTTCCATTAATTATAACTTACCCGAAGGATAATACAGGGATTTTGAAATATAAATCACAATTGCGGTCAAGGCAAGGAGTTAAAAAATGTAAACATAAGCATTGAATCATTATTTTTTGAAATATATAGTCTCATACCTGCAACGGTGTGTGCAAACAAATTTTCATAACGCGCTAACGCGCGTTACTCAATTTGTTTGCCCACACCATTGCAGTTATGAGACTATATCTTTCAAAAAATAATGATTCAATGCTTAATTGTTGCAACCACTATTGAAATAACGACCACTATTGAAAAAATTACTTCAATTGTGATTGAGAGTGCATTTCAAAACCAAACACAAGTTGTAATCGCTATTGAAATAACGTTCACTTGAAATAATTTTCTTCAATAATAAGGTTTACAACGTGGTTTTGGGATTGAAATCATTGTCAGCAACTATTAAACTAATAATTTCAATCACTATTGAAATCATTGTTTCACTAGTGAACGTTATTTCAATAGTAGTTGCAATCTGTGTTCGGTTTTGAAATGCATTTTCAACCATTATTGGAATAATTATTTCAAAAGTGGTCGTTATTTCAATAGTGGTTGCAACAATGCTTTTATGAAACGTAAATATAACAAACAATTTTAAGTGAGATCTATGCTAATGCAGATCCTTAGAAATGATAGAGGTTAGATCAAGTGCATATTCATATCGATGACGGGTAAACAAAACAAAAAGTTACTCTTTTTTTTTTTTATAAAAACTAAGCAAAACCGTCTCCTTTCATATCGAAGTCAAAAAAAAAAAAAAAAAAAAAAAAAAAAAAAAATCAAAAAGCACACAGAATTTTTGTTTAAATTCCCAAGCATGTTTTGATGAATGAGCTTTTTCATGCCTTATTAGACTATTTCAAAATTTGACAGATAGAAAACAATTTTATTTCAAATTGTTTTAAAGAATTAAGAAAACTTATATTTATATTTTTTTAAAAATAAAATTAATTATTTTAGAAACTTAAAAAACGTCAATTCCTCTATGAAATGAAAAAAAAAGCGTGATGTTAAAAAACAAAAGTAATAAAGTAATGCATATCTACAGCAGTATATTTTATATTTAAAAGGCAACGTTTCAATTCCTAAAATATGCAAAGAAATATATAGCAATAAAACGTGTTCGTTCATTGGTCTTAATTTTCAGTTTATGTGATTTTTAAAACAAAAAAGCAATTTTAAGCAATTTCAAAAATTGTGTATAAGCAAGTGATAAGTATGAAAACCATTTTGATTCGATCCAAAACGTATATCTGCCGTTTGGTAGGGTACTGGAATATCCGTTGTGGTATGGTTGGTATTGCTGAACATAACAATGATGTTGTTTTTTGCTACTGCAACGTACCTAAATTCATATATATATATATATATATATATATATATATATATATATATATATATATATATATATATATATATATATATATATATATATATATATATATATAATTTCAATTGCATTGACAAGCTTAACACTTTTACCTTTTATCCGGAATGCATGTCATTTCACTATGGTGCCTTATGCTATTCATTTCTCCAATTTTTTGGATTGTACTATTTTCCATTCTGTCAAATGAAATCTTATACAGAATGAATGATTCTTTTTCCTTTGTCGCAAGTATAAGAGATTTTATTGAATCCACGCAAAGAAACAATGGTTGAAGGCCTACAATATGAAATCATAAAGTGTGTATTTATCTTTTAGTCCAATTTGAATTATTTATAATGTTGACAATGTTATTAAATATCTGAGTTTATTTGAATATCTTCTTGATTCATATTTCATTTAATTATTAGCTGAATTTTTTTTAAAGTGCGAATTTGAGTAGAAAGAAAACAGACAAAGGCGACGGTATTTAATTTGAGTTAATGCAATCGAATTAAAATCAGATACTTTGATCCTCGCAAATAAATCGCTACAATAAGATCTGAAGAAACACTGTTGTTCAGTATCTCGGAATTCAGTTATAGATGTTTAAGTCCTTAAGAAAAAAAAACTTAGAATTGTTACCTGGTTTCCATAACCCTTCGATTCAACCGCTACAAGTCGCCCGCGTGGCGCAGTGGTTAATGTGTCTGCTCAGAATCACGAAGTAAGGAGTTGATCCTTATGTCCCGGGTTCGAATCCCACTGTGGGATGTGGAGACCGGTCCTTCGGATGAGACCGTATAAACCGAGGTCCCGTGTCCAGTAGGTGCTGGCACGAAAAAGATCCCTCACTGCTCAATGGCTGAAAGTGCCGAGTATAGGACAAAATTTTCAGCTCTCCACCGGCAAGTGGTGGCGTCTCCATATGAGTGAAAAATCCTCGAGAGGGACGTTAAATAACATACATACAAACAAACCAAAAAAAGAAAAAACGCTACACTATAGTTTCTATCTTTTCTGCAATAGATAGTTGATTTCGCACTTCGCTCCTTGATTTATACGAAACGTTAGAATCCTCAGCTATTTTCACTTTTTCTGAATGTACATTAAGTTCGATCTCTCTGATTGAATAAATTTTTAATGAATATTTTGGTGGTAAATGTCACCAGGAGATGATTATGAACAGTGTTTCTTCATATCCTTATGTAGCAATCTATGTGAGAAAAAAAGGATCTGATTTTTATCAGATTGAAGTTGACACATATCATTATGACATAGTCAAAACTTCTCTTTTTTAACGAAAAATGATTTGGTATCAGTTTTAAAATTAATGTCCTCTTTAGAGCAAGTTGAAAAGAAATATTTTGGAAGAATATTAAAAATTGGTGCATTTTTTGCAAACTATTTGTTTTATTCTAATAACTCGGTAAAAAGAAATTTCGAGATTTTTTTTCATAATCCAAGTAAATCTAAGCACATGCTTATAAAATTAAAGATCTTTTAAATTTTGGTTGCAAATACCTTAAAAAAAACCCAGATATATGGATACCTGAAATATTCAAGCTCGATTCTTTCCATGTATTATTATCGGAAAAATAATATATTATAGATCCGTTGTATGCAATGTATAGATTCTGATTCGAATCAACGGCAAAGTCTGTTATAGTGTATTTTTTCCTGAAAATAATTGAGTACTTTGTCAGCTCATTCAATCCATATATTGTGTTGTCCGTACTCTCATGGATTATGATATCCTGCAAATTGTTGTCTGAAATGAATTTGTAAAGTATAAAATATTAAATGTTAGTACTGATACATTAGAATTATACATATAACTAAGAACTCTTGACTTCGATATTGAAGAATATTTAAGTTCGAAATTAGTTTAAAATTATCTACACCAATGTAAAAAAAAAAAACACATTGTTTTACCATAGTCACATGACGAATTGTCATTTGATAACTCTGTCCCAAAAGGACATCCACATCCTATTTCCTCGTATTTGACACACAATTCTTCACAGCCACCATTTTGTGTAGAACAGGAATCTTGAATAAAGAAAACAAAAATATTGCTAATAATAACGTTATCAATTTTCTTCATTTTTCAATTTTTCTTTAAAGTTGATAAAAGCATATTTTTCCCCGTAAAATATCCATCATTATTAAAACTTATAGAAATCTTGTACATACCGTCATCTATTTTAGTAGCGTTTAAAATCGTATCACTGATAATTATATCATTGACAGTTCCGTTCACTTGAGTACACAATTCGTTAGCTGATATGTCAGAATTTCGGTAGTCTGCTGCACAGATATATGAAATATATGACGTCGATACACCCCATATCAAGAAAGACTTCAAAATGAAAATGAAAAGGTTAAACACTTTATATATATATATATATATATATATATATATATATATATATATATATATATATATATATATATATATATATATATATATATATATATATATATATATATATATATATATATTTGCAAGATTTGAAAAAAAAATGTCTTTTGTACTGTTCCTAATTTAACCATACACAAAATATGATTCCTTCTGAAATGAAAAAAGAAGTTTCAGCTATTTATAAATATAATATTCAAATCTTAAATATTGTAAACTGTTACATTTTACAGTGTAAGAGTTATCAATATAGAACCCTTGGCATAAAGTAGCTTCCTGTTTGAGATCATTATCTCACAAATTCTATGTTCTATACAGTGGCCTTATTTGCGAATATAATTTGTTATTAGATCGAAAATTGACTAACTTCTTACACATTGATAGGCTTTTTCATACTGAATTGATTAAGAATATTTTCGTTCATCCGATCAAAACAAAGAACAAACTGCGGGTGTGACCGGTCGAGAGAGGAATTCAACCCCCTCCATGGCAACTAACTTCATCTCTATTTTCAGAGGTCCCTGTTTGCCTTGCTCACAAATATCTTGGTAGCATTGTTTAATCGGAACTTTCCAGCGTGATAACTGTTCGTTAACTTGAATGAAGATCAAATAGAGATCTAATAGAGTATTCATATTTCAAATTTAAATCATTCAAATTTTAGCAATTTTAGATATGTAGCCATATTCAATGGGAGCATTTTAACCGCTAAAGGAAACTCTTTTCAAACATCCTCAGGTTTGAGAAATTCTGACTTATTTAAAAAAAATACTTATTTTTACACTAAGACTTTTCCAGTGTTTTTCCTGTGCACAGATATGTATAATTGTTGGTAGGCTTTTTTTTTAAATTTTACTCCTGTTCGTTTTCTTCACCGTTTTCATTCTGATCATGATTGTATATTCGATAGCATTTTAATTCGATGTTACATAAGATACTTGTCTAAATCTGGTTTCTTATTTCAGTGAAGAAAAGTTACATCATCTATTGTAAATTGAATACTGCTTGTAGTGGAAATTAAATAGAAATGCGTACCTGGAAGAAGGTTACTGTATGAATAGAACTCTTTATGACCCTGTTTACTGATATATCCTTTCCATGAATCCCAATGCTCATGATACCCTGATAGGTTGTCCAAAAAAGCCTGAAATTTTGTTTGAAGTTGAATGATCTTGCGATGAAATGACATTTTTTATGCTGAAAGGATTGATTCAAATTATAAAATGTAAAAAAAAAAATATTTTTTATCTGTGTGATTTCTTAAAGCACAAATGTTCGGTCTAAAAACTAGTTTCTAGCTCAGTGTAAATTACCTTATATTTAAAAAGCTTTGAACTTTCCAAGATAATAATGATATTATTGCTATACTTTTTATAGACTCATTAATAAATGCATGTGTCATGAATTTCCTGACAATGTATTTAAAACACCTTTGCAAATATTAAATCGATTTTTAAAACAAAAATTAATATCATAAATGGCTTAAAATGCAAATGCTTTGGCAAAAAGTTATTATAACTGTTTAAATATTACAATCCTTTACACAAAGCTTTTAATTTCAAGTACATGCATAATAGAGGCTCCACCTTAAAGACCGAATTTTTTTACCCTACGGTTCCTTGAGGAGAGAGTTGTATTATATGTACCGGTGTTTGGACTTCAATCAAATCATTAGCTATTGTTTCTAGTTTGATTGATAAGCAGTGATGATTAATCTCAACGTACATAGAATTTAGGAACGTTAATATAAAAATTGGGCTTTAATCCTACGATAGAACACAGAACATAATTACCTTTGTAAATCCGAATTAATGAAAATGTCAAAAATTCCCAAAGACCTTATCAAGGTTCTGCTTTTCATGTCGTCAAGAGAAGCAATTTGGATGAAATAGTTTTTCATTGTTAACCATGCAAGTACTCTACAAAGAAAAGACATGAATATTAAAAATTTTTAATTTTTTTTTTTAATTCAGTTCATTAAGAGAATACTTTCAAGATCTCAAACAACAACAGGCCACATACGCAGTGACAGTCACTCTAGTTTCATGATTTTTTAGGCTCTTACCACCTTATTCCTACCAGGGATTCAATTACGTCTTAAAACTACAGTTAAGTTATCTTTGTCAAAATCACAATCGTATTTATGCAGTTTTCATCCTTGAAGTTCAAAAATAAAGAAGATCGAGTGCTCTGTGTAATAAATTTTAATATATGACCCAATATGATCCACACAATTCTTGCTTTTTGTGATCATGCAACGTATTTGCCTACTAAATGTCTATAAGGAAAAAAAGAGTTTCAGGGGTGTATTGTACTTTCGATATATAACTAATTTAGCCCCATACTAGGGATGAAACAAATTACACGGGTCCCTTGAATTTCACACTTTACCTACTTGTTTCATAATTTCTTAGAATGGAATCATTTTGCATTCTTAATGCTTATGCATTTAGGAAACGGCTTTCAAAGAGGAAATATATTTTCAACATATGACAAACTAAACAACACCCTTTAGCCTAAATTATGATTCAGTCGTCCTGCCGTCACAATTTTAGTAGAGGACCAAGTACTATTTGTAGTCATGCAAACAGTTCACTTCCTTGATGTCAAATAGTCAAGAAGATATTCAAAATGAAATATTTCTCAACAAAAAATCAAAAGAGCGCCATTTCTGGGCCTCAATCATGGGAAGTACATGTAAGCAAGGATTTTCACAAATTTAGCTAGAACAACTAGCGATACTGTTGTTTAAAATGATAAATGCACCCAATGTCACAGCTTTTTGTTTGTATTCCATTTCTACAAACCCATTGCTGCCTGATGCATAAA